GGTTGAGAAACTGCTACATATTAACCTTAGCTGAAGAACTAACAGAGAAATCTGATGCTACCAAAAGTTGGACCAATAATGTGAGTGGTCCAGTTGCAAAATGATTATTCATTACTAGAAGTGCAAATGATTTTCTCAAGTTGCTAAAATATCTTATGAGACTGTTTATCTGCACCAAATGAAAAACATGTCAGAGGGATGTCTAACCACGTGATTGCTGATAGAAGCTGCATGCATCATAGCTGATCTTCGAAGATGAGCAACATCAGAAGTGGCTTGAATTTTGGAGTCCATTCTTGCCAGCTCAATGTTGACTTCACTGCAGCGCTGCTCAAGCAATGCCAGAGTTGCTGGAGCAGCTTCTTTGTATCTCTTCTGAAGTTCTGATTCTAAATACTCCCTCAAAGAAGAAAAACCAATATAGGGCCTGAACTTTTCTTCATCATAACCTCCCTTGATTCCATCATTCAGATGACGTAAAACTTCAGCATCCACTTGGGATATTTGCCTACGGAATTCATCATTTGAGATTGTGTTCCTGTCCTTTGGCAACGCTACAAAAAATGGCCTAGTATTTTCTCCAAGATATCCACTTGCACTCAAATAACGATCCACTTCCCATCTGTCACTAAACTCCTGTTTTATTGAATTATATCACAATTAAATTCTGCAATTTCAGATACAGATTTCAATTACCCACACGGAGTCATACTATATCAATAAACAAGCAATGCTTATTTTTTCAGGCATGTGTTACTTCCAAGTTGTCCTGCATGTCTCAATCAGTCAATACAATAAGTTATAGGTAATATGTCAATGTAGCATCAATGTGTGTGCGTGTACGGTCAGCTCAAGGTTGCATCTCATAGAGGACAAAGCCAAAAGGAAAGCAAGAAATCTGTACCTTTAGTCTGTTATCAAACTTGGAGACCACAATTACTGTTCTTCGAAAGATTGGATCAATTTCACGAATGGCATCCAACCACAATGATGAGCACCATTCCACACTACTCTGCTGAAGGAACAAAAGAATACGATGGGGAGGACTAGCCAGTGACTTCACCATGGAAAGAATTTCCTGAGGCGTGTTCTCTGGTTCTCCCTTCTTTGCCTGCCAAAAAATTTCCAACCAGACATTTTGATTCATAACTAAAATTCTTATATTGCAGATTTCAAACAATCTAATTAGTTTTTCAAATGAATTGACAATCTACCTTTAAAACAAATCCTGGGGTATCGATGATGGTGAGGTTGGGACAATGTGCAAATTCAGCTCTCATTACAATTGGCTTAGGAGAAACTGAAGTTTTAGTCTTTTTCAAAAGGGCCTCAGTTCTCGACTTTATAATGTCTGCAATCGTTGATGCTGAAACAACTGGACTTCCATATTCCTCAGAATCTTCTTCCTGTTTTCAGTTGTCAATTTTAAGTATCAATGAAAAAGAGAAAGAGGAAACAAGGCAAAAATATCAAACTGCAGAAATGGAGCATTCATTCAATGAAAAACACCCAGATGCTAAAGAGAAAAACTTTTTGCTAGCAAAATAATTACAGTAATAAATCAAGATTCTTCACATCCAAAACATTAGAAATCCTTGGTAAATGGCTACATTCTTCAGAAAGGCTACGTTGGTTGTTATTTTCACTACTTGCTCTTTGCTTTCGACAAGATTGTTATAATGTAAAAGCAAAATCGTAATTGATTGAAAACACAACACCAATTTTAACAAACGAATTCTGTCTACATTCTATTATAACGAAAATCCTTACATTTGCATTATTAATTCTCCCAATTCATAGTATGTCTTTTTAGTATCCAATTTGCACTAATTCCATCCAAAATTCAACTATTCAATTTCTATAAATTAAACAAAATGGAAAAAGGAAAAAACTACCTGGAAGCGACAACGAGGCTCATGGGCAGAAGGGTCATGAACCATCTGCAAAATGAGAGGACGACGAGTACCCATCTCGACTTCACGCACATTGAAACGAAACCCAAGCAAAGCTTCAAGGAGAGAGCTTTTCCCATCGGATTGACCACCGAGAGCTACAATCTCCGGGATCGGAAGCTTCTCCCCGAAGGCCACTGCGGCGGCTTGGAGGCGGTTGTAGGCCTCGAAACGGGAGAGAGAGGAGGAGGAGGGGGAAGAAGAGTCATGTGAATGGTGGTGGGGATGGGATCTTTTGGATTTGTCTGCTGGGGTTTTTGTTGCAGTCGGGGTCGCCATTGAAGAGAGAAACTGAAGCAGAGGAATGGGAAAAATATAGAAGACGCGCTCGGAATTTGAATTTAAAATTTTGAGGGAATATATACGTTAAAAGAATTGTAGAGGGTTATGGATGGGCTTGGGTTGGATTTTGTATTGGGTGTTATGGGCTAGTTTGGCCCAGTAAGGTTTAGCTTGGGCTCAACATGGATCAGGTTTTGTGACATTTTGGGTTTTTTTATTTTTTATTTTGTAAAAAGTTTTTGATAATATACCAATAATTTGTTTCTTTTCATTTAAAAATCGAATATTCACTTTTCGTTATGTTTATGAATTTTTTTTTTTGGTTTTAGCTGTTTCTTATTTTGGAAATTTAATTTTCTTATATTTTAATATTTAATAACATTTAATGTAAAAAAATTAAAAAATATTCATAAGTAGAAATTGTAGACATTTGATAAAATGAAAGAAGATACTTATCAATCATTTTTTGGTTTAACGTTTTAAAAAACTTTTAAATTATTTTAAAAAATTTAAATAAATTTTTATTTTTTTATTACGTTCAATTAAACTTGTATATTTCTATTTTGAAAAAAATAGACTCTTATGATTAATGTTTAAATAACTACCATTAGTAAAAACATCACTTGTTATTTTACACTCATGTGAAATTGATGTGGTGTTAACGTAAACATTCAAATATTACGTGGTCATTTATCATATCATGTTATCATTCATTATGATGAGTCAGTATGTCACGTTAACGTTATAAAATATAAAAAGATTAGCAACGTTTTAAATAACGATAATAAGTAAACCGTTAGTTATAAAAACTTATTTGTTGTAAAATAAAAATATATGGATTGATTGAACGCAATGAAAGTATAACTATCTCTTTCCCTTCCTATACATCGAAAATCAAAGTACTTATAAGGAAAGTCAACATGCTCGATGAAAGGCATAATATTTAAAAAAAAACTCTTAAAGCTATTTAATAAAGTTTAAATAAATTCATATTTTTCTAATATGTACATTTAAGTGTTTTTGTTTTTATTTTAAATCAAATAAGCTTTTATAATTATCATTAGTCAAAACGTCACTTATTATATATTATATCACAAGGTACCGACGTAATATATTAATATGTCATAATAAATGATGATATGACATAATGACATGATTATATAATATTTTTCACTTTTTACATTAATATTATGTATACATAAAATAATAAGTGTTGTTTTGATTAATAATAATTAATTAATTGTTAATTATAAAAATTTATTAAATCTAAAATAAAAATATAAAATTTTAATTAAATACAATAAAAAAATAAAATTTTTCTTAAATAATACAGTGACCTTTCAGAACAATATGCCTTTACGACACTAGCAACAACAAAACCCATGAATTTATGGCATGGTCAATGCTAACATGTCACAGGTGGCAAAATCTAATTTCATTGAATTTTTAAATACTTAAAATGAAGGGAAAAGGGGAAATTTCAAAAGCAAAGCACGTGAAAGAGAACAAGGCAACCTATGAAAATGATCTGTAAAGTAACCCAAAATGGAAGTCCAGTGTCTGTCCGTGTGTGGAGAGCGACAGAGATGGAGGGAGTCGACCAATTCTTTAACCCCAAGACTGGTAATCATTATGTGCGGTTGCGATTTGTTTTTGGAAGACTTCCCTGATGGGGGGTGTGACATTCGTTCACGAGGAGGGAAAGCAAGCCTGCCCATGAGATTCAATGCTTGGTGAAAGAGTGAAGGGGGAAGGATTGTGAGTTTTGGACGCATTTCGTGGCGGAAAAGAGGATCAGCTGCACGTGTTACAACTCCCATGTCTCCAGCAATTCTTGCCTGCTTTAAGCTTTGACTCTTCGCACCTTGCCATAAGATCAATGGCTGCCTGCTTTTTGCTAGATTTCAGCTTTTAAAAACCCTCTTCCTTCTTTTTTTTTTCTTTTAAAAAAATTTGAAATGTACCATTTCGTATATCTCAATTCTCAAGGATTATAGTATCCCCTGCTTCACAAATTCTTGCCATTTCTTCATTCCCCACTTGATGTGGGTCTCATGTAATGTCAACACTTTAACTTCAATTATTTGCTCTACCCTTTGTTGCATAATGCAATACATGTGTATGATTAATGTGAACACTTACCACATGATGTGAGAATCAAATGTGATTAAAATATATTTGATAGGCAGTCTAGCCTATATATATATATATAAATTTTTTCAACTTATTTCCAATATTACAAGAATATAATCTTTCACCGACGAAATTAATTTTATCAGAATATTTGTTGATAGTTTTTTATTTTTGTAATGTGGGGAGAAATTAGATGTTACATTTCCTTTTTGATAAAAAAAACCCTATTTGAAAGGTATTTTTGGATATTAAAATTGTCTCTGATTAATTCAAAACTTTGAACTATAATGATTACTTTTATACTTATGTGCACATAGGCTATTTAATTAGGACTGGTGCTAGATGCAGAGCAATATTACTATTTGATCAATACAAAGAACATTTACTGAGGCCAATTTTTCCCCATTTTATTTGTCAAACATTTAATATTGGTCCTACCTAGAACCTAGACCACCAATTAGTTATATGCATTTAATTAACTCATTAAACAAGAAATTGGCCTGTTTTTAAATCTAGCGAAGACAGCACTTCCCTTCCCTTATATTATGGAATAATTTATCACAAGCTTGCAGCTTAAAACACCCTCTTAGCTTAGCTAACACTTGTGCAAAACCTTCACCTCCATTTGGAAGAATGGCTACCACCATTCTCAAGCTCACAGCCATTCTCTCCCTTACTGTTTCTCTCCTCCTATCTCTGCATCCTCAAGCAACCTTCTCGTTCCGAATCGAAGATGATGGAGATGATGGAGAAGAATACTACATGCTCGATCAACCTCTTATCATCCCTAACCTCCAATCAAAAAGCCGGTTCCTGTCACATACATTGAAGAAAGATAAAATTCGGAAAGGTACACATTGCGATCCCAATTCTTATCACAACATATGCAATGGCATCTCCGCCAACAATGGTACCAGCCTGCTATATTGCTGCAAGACACATTGTCGCAACGTTCTTCGCGATTGGAATAACTGTGGACAATGTGGCAATCGATGCAAATTTGGGCAGCATTGCTGTGGTGGAGTATGCACCAATGTTATGTTCAATGATAATCACTGTGGCAAGTGTGACAAGCAATGCAAATCGGGAGTTAAGTGTGAGTTTGGAAGCTGTGGTTATGCTTAGATTAATATGGATTTATCAATGTTGTTTATAATAGGAGATTCAAAAAGCTTATGTTAGTGTGTTTTGATAATTAATAACACTTCCTTATTTGATATTTAGTATAATGAGGAGAGGATATACATACGTTACATAGATTAAGTAAAAATAAAAGAAAAGGCCAATTTCGAGGTGCTTCTAATTTTCAACAATCATCAATGCTTTTAATTTTTTTATGGTAATTTTGTTTAATTTCTGTTATTGTATATATAGATTTGGTTTTAGCCATAGTGTGGCCCTTAATGAGATATTAATTGTTTATTTTTGGTCTTTTTTTTTCTTTTTTAATGTATATCCTTTTCCCTTTGCCGCATATTTGGGTAAGGGAGGAGTCAAAGATTTGGTTTCGTTATAAAACTTGATTAGTATTAACCTGCAATTACAGCTGCATGTGAAGTTTGCCCTTTTGTTGAGTATACTTATTTAATCAATTCATTTATTTAAATCAAGGTGGATCCCTGTTTTAATTTGAGTAAGCACATATATGTTGTTAGCAAAATAGCAATGAATCCTTGTTTATGATAATTTTGCATTTCGGGTTCAAATTATTTTGAGCTTAATACTGCATTCAAAATTCAAATGAATGATTTTTCAAATCAGTTCAAATTGAGTCGATAAGATTTTAAATGGATTCGTTTTGACACTTTTATTTAGTGACGCAATATAACTAATTTGTAAACTAAACTTCTACTTCTAAATGTTAAAGCAAAGTATTTTGGACATATTGATAATAATATTGTACATTTTGAGTTCGTAAACAAGATTAACGGGGTTTTATTGTCATGGATCTGCTTCCTAATTTAAAAAATATATATAAATAAACAAAAAGTTAAAAAATATGGTTAGATGATTGATGAGCAAACCAGGTGTGCACTTGGGTGGATGCCTACCACAAATTATAATTTCTATGTATATATATATATATATATATAATTGAGTCTTGAACATAATTTGTTAAAATATTAAAATGTTAATATGAAATATATTTAAGGGTTTCTTGATCCAATGCACAATCACAAGCGACCCCCAAGCCACCTAGTTGATTTCTTGATCATGTAATCACTTCAATGCATGCTTCTCTTGGTTGCAAGTCTAGGCTACCAGACCCGGCACTATTGTTGACTATTGGTGGTTTATATGAACTTGAAGACTATATACTTTCCACTACAAGATGCAGGGTCGGAGATAGTTAAATTTTATTGAGAGGTCAAAAACAAATAAGAGTAAAAGTTAAATTTTTTCAAGGGGGCATTAAGACAAAAAATATATAAATTTTGTAAAAAAAAAAACAAAAAATATAAAATATATACGAGATATTAAAAATTTTACACAAGGCTCCACTCCTGTAGGATTTCCACTATATGCAACAAGTTTGAATACTACAATTACAATCGATCGGTTCTCTGTTGCTTAATCTTGGAAATAAATGTAGTTTAATGTAAGTGGCATATAACTAGAAATTACCTACTTTATATCGTTTCTTACTCAGAGTTAAACTTATTCATGCTCCTTTTAGCTACAATCTAAGAGATGTAGTAAGAGCCAATGAAGTATTGTCTTAATGATAAGAAGGAGGTCTCGAAACTTTTAGGTTTCAGGTTTCAAGTCTCACTATAAGTTTGGACATGCATACAAAAATTATGGAATGGAATCATTGCTTTCAGTCAATCAAGACAAGCCCAAGGAACACAGAGCTTTCTGTCTATGGCATAAACTTTTGCTTGGATGCAACTTTTCTTTTCATGGAGGGCTAGCATCTGGTACATTTCTTGTAATGGAGAAGTAGAATTCAGCATGACCTTTACTTGAAGTAATTAGACCTTTCTTTTTCCGCAGAGTATCATGTCTCCAACAAGCTTTGCTACATCAGATATACATGTCTATTTCTTCTACATTGAACATATTAAATTTGGTTGATTCTGATCATATTTCTAGCTAGTTACTTCTTCCCTATAGCCAGTGCCATATCCTCTTGAGTTTTCACAAAATCTTTGAAAAAAAACAACAATTTCTTCTGTGGTGGAAAGAGCTGAAATCATTGTTTCTTTTTCCCTAGCTTCTTGGGTCATTCCAAGAACACAAGAAATCAAAGCCAGGTATGTTTTCTGTTGTGCCATATTCTTTCCAATTCCAAATTGTATCGAGGACACATGTTTTACTTCCTATTGCCACATTCTTGTTTGGATTTTTTTTTTTAGCATTTTAATTTTTATAGCAAGAGAATTCATTGCTTTTTCAATAACAAATAGCAACTTAGAAAATGATTCATTGCTTTGTAAGTGGCATGTGTAATAATTGGTCTCAAGGCTTCATATGCTGATTTTGTAGTTGATTTTCTAAATCATGCACAAAATTTTCATTGTTCCAAAAAAGTTTTAATGTTGTCACCATATTTTAGGATGCCATGTTATGATTGATTTATGATTCATAATCTAATGTCTAAACCTTCCAAGTGAAATTCCATGCCTTGCAACCGAGACATAGGGACATTGGATTCATCTCCGGTATAATGTATAATTATGGACAAAACCAACTGATATTCTTCAATTTCTTAGTAAAAAAAAACAAATATTAAAATGGTAAATTACAAAGAAAACTCTAAAAATAATATCATTTTCACATTAAAAATTCTATTTCACAACAATTAAATTAAATTCAAATTAATATTTATTCCAAAATCTTAAATCCTAGTTTTTTTTCCCATTCTTTTCCCCCTTCCTTTTTATTTGTTTCTTTCCCTGTTTCACCTTCTCTTCTCTTTAATTCAATTTTCTTTTGAAAAGTTAAGATCAACCAGCAAAAAAAAAAAAATGGACGAAAGGTTTTATTTAAATTGTTTCAATTTTGAAAATTAATAATTTGAATTGTGACGTCGTGAGATTTAATTTTTCATGTGAAATAACTCACACTTTCTAAGATTTTCTAATGTATACTTTTATCTATGTAATTTATCTAATTAAAAATAAAGACCGGGAAATTATAGGTTTTCAGTAATATATATGAAGATAAAAATATATAAAAAAATCAATTCAAAAAACAGTACAAAAAATTCATTTCATAAATATCAAGTTTTATTAGAATGTTTTTTAATATTATGGTTACATGGTAAATTCATACTGGACGATTTTAGTTTCCGAAGACATGATTTTCAATTTCTTCTTCCTTACAGAATGTGTTATAATTCCACAAAATAATTTAAGCAATTAGCAATTGTCATGAAAAGAATTCTAACCTTAAAAACGTTGCTTTCTTTCGTCACGTAAATCTCTCTTAGCACAGAGCTAGTCTGCGGACAGTAGCAAGGGAGTTTGCTGGTTATATTACTTTCTAGGCCTTTGCTCTCTGCATCTTCTTCCAATAACTATCTGTCAGTCAGGACAGGTACTTTCTCATATCAAATGGGTTAATATGCTCAGAATTTATTTTTCATTAGTACTGAATAATTTATTTTAATTCCTTTACTTTATAAATTTGATATGTCTCTGCATCATTCTTCAACGAATCAATACCACAATTTGGTGCAGCGACAAGCTTTAATATGGACTTGATTGGACCTATCATTGAGGTTATTAAGTTCATTAGTCAATCAGCTAGAAAGCGTCTAAGATACCACAGAAAATTCAGTGAATATGTGGAAGATTTCAAACAAGCTCAAGCAGATTTGAATAACCGGAAGGGGGATATTCATCAACAATTGCAAGACGAGCATCGTTTTGGGAAAAAGCCAAAGCTGGAAGTTGAAAGTTGGTTCAACAAAGTAGAAGAGAAGCTTGGTCACGCTCAACATGTTGCGGATAAAGTCAGGAAGGGAAATATCTCTTTCGTTCTTGCTTAGGGAAGGTTGTTGATGAAACCACTCAAGCAATGAAGAAAGTATATGATGAAGGTCAGTTCTCCGGAAGCTTGGTGGTCAACGACTCCTCGACCATAGCTGCTGAACTACCAACACCAGAAATAACAGGTGAAACTAATGTAAGAGAGGAAATTCGTAAGTATTTGATGGGGGATGAAGTTAGAATGATTGGAGTGTGCGGGATGGGAGGAATCGGTAAAACAACCATAATGAAGCATGTCCATAATAGGTTGTTGAAAGAAGATAAGTTTAAGAAATTGATTTGGGCAACTGTATCCCAAGACTTTGATGTTCGACGGCTACAAAATGTCATTGCAAGCCAATTGAAAGAGACCTTATCGGATGATAAAAATACAACTATTAGGGCTGGAGAGCTATTGGAAATGTTGAGGAAACAAGGGAGCTATGTTCTAATATTAGATGATGTATGGAGCAGCTTCTGTCTTGAGGATGTTGGAATCCTTGAGCCAACTACAGATAATGGATGCAAGTTAGTGTTGACAACGCGCTCCGAAAAGGTTGTTCGAGAAATGGATTGTAAGAAAGTCCAAGTGCCCTATCTTTTGACGGATGAGGCGATGCAATTATTCTTAAGCAAAGTCGGACAAGACATGTTGCCTAATCCAAATTTAGAATCGATTATGAAGGATGTTGTCCGCGAATGTGGTGGTCTCCCTCTTGCAATTGTCACAATAGCTGGTTGTATGAGGGGAATATCTGATCCCTGTGTGGAGAAATGCTTTGAATGAATTGAGAGGTTACATAAGAAACATCGATGAGATGGAAGATAAGGTGTTTAGCTGTTTAAGATTCAGCTACGATCGCCTGAAACAAAAAGATCAAGATTGTTTTTTATATTGTGCATTATTTCCTGAAGATTATAAAATCAATGAAGAGGAAATAGTTGAATATTGGATGGAAGAAGGACTTATAGATGACATGGGAACTAGACAAGAAATGCAGGATAATGGTCACTCTATTTTACGGAAGCTTGAAGAAAACTGTTTGTTAGAAAGGGTACACACATAAAGATGCATGATGTTGTGAGAGATATGGCTTTACATATCACAAGAAAAAGATTTTATGTAAAAGCCGGTAAGCAATTGAAAGA